CCAGTACTCACCTCCTCCTGGTCCAGCATCTGTTGCTTCAGCTTCTCAGCCAGCTGGCTCTGCTGGTTGATTTCCTCATCCTGTAAAGGGTAAAGACAGACGGCAACATCAGCATTTACGCCAGGCCAAACACCCAATGAAAAGGAAGCAGAATAAAGTCTGACGGGAATCAATCTTTAGTTACTGGTATAACTTAACTGTTGTCGCATTTTCACATTTACTAAGTAGTAATTGTTTAAAACCTGTCACACACAGGTTGACAAACGCACCTTATCATCCAGCTGTTTATAGAGTTTGGCCAGCTCTGCTTCACACTTGTCCTTCTCCACGTCAGTGAGCCGAACGCCGGGCACGTTGGGCGTTGAGGCCGCCTTTTCGTTTATAACATTGTCCAGGGCCAGCACCTCGGCGTTGGCTTTCTCCTTATCAAACTGCTCCTCCACTGGCACGCTCTCACCTGAGGAGCAGCAGGAAAACGTGTGTTCAGTAGATGGAAGAAGAGTTGTTTCTTTCATGCGCACATAAACGGCACTGAGAAAGGATTAGACGACAGCCTCACCATTTCTCCAGCGGTTCAGCTCATTCTCCAGCCACGTGACGGTGTTCCTCAGGGTCTTGTTCTTCTCCTTCTCTCTCTCATACTTCTGCTTCCACTGCTCTGCTGTCAGCTCAATGTTCACTGTCACTGTGTTCTTGATGGTCTTTGCTCTGGATTATGAAGAAATACATTTTTGTTTTCCACCAGAGAAAAACCTCATGCATCATTATTCATTACAAGGAAAATAGCACATAAATGCACCATCTGGGACTTAACAAGTATTTTTTTTATAACTTTATATTCTGCTTTGTTGTAAATCTGATATTTATAATTACATTTTCTAATGTAGTTGCTTAATTTATATGAAAACATTTTCTGTAATGTCAAAGTGGGACATGAAGCTGATTTGTTTTGACAAAACCAACACAGTTGAAAAATTTCCATCAGCCTACTGACCTCTGCCCGAACATTAGGGTGGTTTTGGTTTCAGCCTCATTAAAGGAGGAAGGTGAGCAGCAGATGACAATGGTGGTTCGACAGTTACCGCCCAGCGAGTCCTGCAGGATACGGGTCATCTTGCTGTCTCGGTAAGGGATGTAAGCCTTGAAATGGGCAACAAAAAACATAAAAGTCAATGACAGAAAAGCACACTTGTATTCAAACACAAGTAAAACATCAGCTCTGCAATTAGTCCCATAAATATGAAATTAGGATTAATAATAACTAAATGTTTTATAGTCATCACATATAGCTCAATTCCCTGAAATAAAATTAATAAATAAAAGCTTTAGAGAAAAAGAAAAGCTTTTTTTTTTTTTTAAACCACAGCACATGTGTAGTCACTGACATTAGTGACTAATACCAGTGACAGGATAAGATATGCATCAGGTTCTCAGAGAAGGTGGCATTGTCAACAGAGATACTCAACCTTTTCGACAGAGGACACTTTTGAAGGACAGGCGCAGTCAATTAATATATTTACCAGAAATTAAACAACCAATAAAAAGTGAAGAAACATTAAAAGGCCTGGAAGTCAGCTTTTTTCAATATGATTTACCTACAAATTTACAGCATATATTAACAATACTAACTAGGTAAAATTTCCTATTCTTTCGCCCTCTCTTATTAGGTATGGCCACAGTAGATCACCTACTTACTCAACCTATCCTTAACACTCTCGTCTGTCACACCAAACCTCTCAGGTCTTCCTCTTTTCTTCCTGCCTGATCTCATCACACACAAAGATCGCGACCAATCCTACAAGTTTCTGGGCTCAGTCACTCAATTTGAGTCATATTGAATAAAACATCAACCCTTTAATGTTCTGCTCAACCATTTGGTAGGGCATTTTGAGTCCTTATATTGTTCTGAAACAGCACTGACATTAACTTGACCTGCCTGAGCAACTTCTACCACTTGGTTTTGATAGGTTATTTTTAAAAGAATCAACTGGATGTCAATATGTCTTTTAATGGTTAGCAATGACAAAGCTAACCACTAAAAGACATATTGAATGCTTGAAATGTGGACAAGTTGGGTATATTTTTTTGGTCATGAGGCATGGTTTAGGTTAGAGGCATCGCTGTTGACGACAATACCCCATCAGCCTTTTACAGCTGAGGGTTAAAAACCTTTACTGTATCTGCCTAGATTACAGGTCTCACAAGTTTAGAAAAAACAGACATTTAAATAATAACTTGATATATGATTCACATTTATCCAAATGGCTAAGCTGAAACAGCCTCCTATACATCACACTCCTACACACAGTAACGGTAAGCAAGACATCTGTGGACAATAGCTCATTTGTTTTACACCATTGCCCGCCTCAGGTTGTTTACAAAGCCAAGAGTCTCTACATCAGACCAATCGTTGATCAAAATGAAAAGGGTGAAATCAGAATGAAAATTGCTGGGAGAAATGTTTTTGCTTTTTTTCTTTTTTTTTTTTAAATCTACGTAAGTGTTACTGCAGCACAAAGAACCTGTAGAAGGATGAAAATGTTACTTTCACATCAAGACCACAGAAAAGGACTGTGGTTTTTCAACAAGCACACCAAGCCTGGGGTTGTGCAGCTGGTCGGTACCGACTTTGCTTCTGTTTACTACAATAACAGTAATGCCAGTCTGCTTCAAAATGCAACAGAAGCATGAGGCAAAGGAGCATAGCCTGAGGTTATAACAGATTTAATGCTTATTATGCTGAATACACCACATTATGCTGTGAAAACCAAATTATTTTTCATAATGTTTTGAACCAAAGACAGACCTCAAATATAAAACACCTTTACCAAATGGATAATTATTCATCCAAAATAAATAATAAAAATCCTAGACACTATCAAAAAATACTCATAAACAGACCTCTTAAAAAGGAGAAATTGGCACACATTTGAAGCATTCTTAAAAGCGGGGCTTTTCATAGCATTTAGGGAGCCGGTATATGATTGAGGGCCACAAGGGAACTTTTAGTAAATGCCTCAAATGCTTTGTTTTTTTAGGTAGTTTTTGCAGGTTTGTTCTTTGACATCAGCTGCATTTGCATGTGTTAGGATGGTGGGACGTTCAAGTTTAAATGGAAGAAAAAAAAATACTCCTTTGTTTTACACTGTTGAATCACAGTAAGAGTCTAAAATCTATAACAAAGTAGTACTGACCGTTCCTTCAGCCAATGCAGAGATGACATTTCCCAGGGATGACAGGGACTTGTTGATGTTCTTGGCTTCATCCAGCACTGCTCCCTCAGCACCTGTTTTACTGACCTGAGAATCACAGAATAAATAAAGTTCAATAGTCAACAAAAAGAATGGATTGTAGCCTGAATTATTTGCCACTACATGAAAAAAAAAAACCAAAAGGAACAATTTATATTACAATAATTTATCACTAATTTACTGCTAGAGCAGAATAAATACCACTGAGGCCAATATGTAACAAATGTTCCAGCTTACCTTTTCACTACCAGCCAGATCTACCAGGTAGAGCTTTCCACTGAGCTTCTGCTCTGTTTGAGTATTCTCCTGTTTAACGTTGATCAGGAAAATACTGTGACTCCTGGAGCTGTGCTCGTTCATGTCTGAGGGAGAGGCGACATTGGGTCAGACATCATCAGCCCATAAAATACAAAATCTACAGTAAATAGATTCATGACAGAGGGTGGTATCTTACTTGTAACTGCTACATGTCTGTTAGCTTTTCCTTCATCAATTGTATCCATGACCTCCTCTGGGCTGCAGACAAATCTCTCAGTGCAGCCCTTTACAAAAGGAAAACATGAGGTTAGACTCTTGGTCTTCTCTTTTCAGCAAGTTTTACCAGTTTGTTGAAATCTGATATCTATGAGTAGGTCTCACCTTGACATAAGGTACTCTGTTTTTGTCTTCGTGCACTGACAAATTGGTCTTTGACACTGGAAGTAAATTGGAATAAATCAGCCTTACAAACTAATTTTGAACTATAAACATTTAATTCAAAGGCATTATAAAAGACAAAGCCATGACATTAGAAAGAATCCTGAAATGAAATCTATAGAGGCAACAGAAATGGCAGAGAAAAAGCCTTTAAAACCATAAAACAGCAAACAAGTGCTTTTTGTTTTGTCAATATTTGACTGGTTTCTCTGTATATGTACATTCCAGTGACCAGTCAAATTAAATTAAATTTAGATAACATTTCAAAATTACTGTCTAAATTAGTGCCCTGTGGCATTTCACAATACTGCCAAGTGGCGAGACTTGTAGATGTATTGAAACTTATGGACCCATTATACTCGCTGTTCCTGCACTGGCCATATAAAGGCCCTTTCTCCGACCAGAAAGTTTTATTATTCATATCTTCATGTGTGTTCAGTCTTCTGCCATTTCTACATCTATCTTCACTGTCTTGGACTTCTAAACCATTTCCTTTTAGATCGTTTACAACAAACAAAGCCAGAAAAACCCAATCAGCAAGAAATATGACGACCTGTAACTTTTTTACAATTAATAATAAAACACGTAGTTTATTAAAAAATGACGACAAAACTTTATTATGCAATGTAGGGCAATATAAGAACTGGGTACTGTGAAAGAGTTAAGGCACAGCACAACTGACACAACAAAACACTGAGGATCAGCTTCTGCAGCTCATTTTGATATGAATATATAGTGTGTACTTGTACTGTTAGCATAACACGCATGCTACGCACTTGTGTAGTAGTGATTTTTGATAATACAGTGCATCTTGAATTAAAGATCGCAAGTTTCTTTCTTTACCTGTACCTGCAATTTTCACTGAGACAGTGAAGATGGCAATTCAAGATACGTAAAACAAGGCCACAAACTCACATGTTAACAAGCTTGCTAGACCTCAGTAAGCATCAGTAAAATCACTTGTCCTGACTCTGCATCCTCATGCAACCAACTAAAAACCACCCCTCCCTTTGGTCATCTTTCTATTTCTGCTATCTTGAGTCAAGATGCCAGCGACTTGGTAAAGAAAGTATACATCATCCCACTATTCATAGAGCACTTTATAAAGTTGTACTTGATAGTGTAAACATATATGACTCAAAATGTGTAAGCATGGAAATACGTGATTAAGATCAAATAAAATACAAATAAACAAAAGAAATATTTCTCTTGAAACAGCCTGCTCCTATGCTTAGTTTTTAGATGTTTTTATACATTGTTGCACTTACAAAATTACCTACATTTGCAATTCTGTACATATACAGCTAACAACTGCCACACCGTGCTTCTAACTGCTGCTCATTAATTTCCATTTCACAGACTTCTCCTTTCACATGTGTTACCAAAGTTTGGTACAATTAGAGGAGATGAGAAATGTTTGACACTTACCGTCCAAAAGGTCCCGGATCTTGTCTAAGTAGATTTCAAAATATGAAACCTGTAAACAGATAAACAATCTCATTATGCAAGGCCAAACTGAAGGAACAAACTAGACAATCCAGATGCACACTCATCAATCTGCCTTACTCTAAGAGAAAGATGTGCGAAGGTCTGAAGAGTGTAGTTTGTAATTGTTTCTTGGATCTTTTTGATTAAATGATTTAATTCATTTCTTCACACATACTTCAAATACAGCAGCAGCAGACAGTTAAAATCTGGTACTTAGTACAGTTTCACAGTAAGGGCTATAACATAAGAGCAGAGCTCAAAGGAGGTGGGTCAAACAGGAAACATGACATTGCAGTTCAAAGCATATCACCCTTCTCCATCTCTTATATTGTCTCAGGCATAAGAAATACAGAATAACCGCAGGCTACAAAAAAAGAAGGAACTAAGCAGCTTGTCTCTTGCACTCATAGTCTCAGATCTTAGCCATATATCTGAAAATGTAACTTCAGTTTTAAGGAGTAAAAACTGCACTTTTTATAAAAAACTTTTTTTATCTGTTGGATCACTGTATTGTGCATCCCGTCTTCTTACTTTGATATGAAACTCTAGGTTTTCGTCCATGGAATAGATGTAGTTGAAGATGTCTTGCACTATCCTGGGGATAATTCCCATTGAATCTGTGTCATGGAGATTCCCCTGGGAACACAGAACAAATTACTGTAATGTCTCAAAGTCAAATGAAAATTTTATTGAAGACAAGACTTGGAGGCCATCCTTACCTCCATGGTGTGTGTTTTACCAGATGATGTCTGCCCATATGCAAAAATTGTCCCATTATAACCCTCGAGAACATCTACAAGAAAACCCAAAACAACTCAGAACTTAGTAAAGCAAAGATTCAACTGATCTGCTGTGTAAATGCCTGTAAACAAACAAATATAAAATGATTACAAAAATAAAAACGACCCCTCACCTTTTACAATCTTTTGGGCGCAGGCGTTGTACACTTGTTCTTGTGTTGTATTTGACTGAAACACTCTGTCAAACATGTAAGGTTTACCCTGCAGGGGGAAAAAATAAGAAAAAAAAAGGAGGAGGAGTATTAATGACAGTAAAAAAAAAGAAAAAAGAAAAAAGAAAGCCAATAATCTGCAATCTCTGAAAAATAAACCGACTTGTGTTTTGTAAACAGATGTGTGTACAATAGTTTCTTTCACTAACAGACACAATAGGAATTCACTACGGACCATGTTCCCACCCAGAATCGGATAGGTGTTTCCTGATGGAAGCTGTCCAGCAGGCTGTAAGTTATACAAACTTAAAAAAATGTCCAGCAGCAGCAGCAGCATAGATTCATCTACAGTAACTCAAAGATAGACATGGGGACCCACCACACAATATTATTTACTTGGATTACTAAATAATACTTTGTTACAATAAATAACAGATGAGTAATCAGCTGCTTATCCAAACAGTTTCTTGCTACAGATGTTCTGCACTTGGTGACGGTAGTTCTTCTTCTGCAGTCTTTCACAGCACAGTGGAGCAGCCCACTAACAGCCTCTCCACCTGCTGCAAAAGTTCTGTTTTTTGTGGCCTTCTAGCTTACAACATAAGGCCTACCATCATAATGGTAGATGGTGATGTCAGGGTGGACCCCTGATCGTGACACAAGAGACTCGCCAGTACATGGTTCTGATCAGCCTGCCAATGGCAGAACATGACACCAGAAGGACTAGCTGGTAAGCAGTAACTGAACCTTAAAAATAAAGAGTGGCAGCATTGTTCACCAGCAAAATCATTAATGGTTGTAAAGTCTACGTGTGGGGAAACACTGTTAATTGTACTTTAGGTGTGTTTCATCAGTTAAGTGTTTAAAAGCATTTTTTCCCCAAACACATTTTCCTTTTTTTTTTCTTTTTTTTTTTAAAGAGAGAAAACTGAAAGATACCAGGAAATGTATTTTAATAGGAGGGATGTCATCTGACGTTGGACAAAATAAATAAATAAACCTAAACTAAAACCTTGGCGGCTTTTATACTGTTGTATTTTTTTACTCTCCACCCAATTCAGCCTTTGTCAGCTGCACTCTAGTTAACCTCTAAATGCTTGCATTTCCCATCTAATATAGCTTTTCTCATCCCACATCTCTCTCCCAGCATTTGAAATAAACTAAAGTATACCCTGAGCTTTTAGTGCTAATTTAAGAGCCATCCTGCTTCAAAAAAGCCAAGTGTATCTCACTCTGACCCACAGGCTAGTCAAAACTTCAAAGTAGACTTTCAGTCAGATAGCAATCAATAGCTGGCAAGATGACGAAGTGCAAGATGAGGAAGAAGATGATGAACTGCAGGGCGATAAAACTAATGCTACAAGCAAATCTGAAGTTCAGCTGGGATGGCATGCTATCTCTGAAGGTTTGGATCTCTCATCTTGTTTTCAGCCGTACAGGCGAGGACGTAGCTGTGATGTGTTAACAGTCTGAGCACAAGAGAGCCTCATTAGTGATAGCCCAGGTTAAAAACAGACATGGCAGCAGGTAAGTTACTGTCAGATTCAGCGTTAACACCTGTTTAGGAAGATGAAAATGACGACAAGCAACTGCTGTCACCTTGAAGGCTCCACTTACTAGCTTACTAGTTTGAGGCCAGGAATAAAAGCAAACACATTCACTATTCAAGGTGAAGTCACAGATACTTCATAGCCTGGCAGCAAACGCAACAGCCTGTTTACCGGTGTTGGAATCATTCAGACGACTGCAGCTGTGCTTAGATGTCCTCAATTTGCACACCGGCTCATAATCCCCTCCTGACAGACGGTCGCATCTAAAGCACAGCTCTGTGCAATACCTACCGGCAGCATCTTAAGACATTTGTAATTCATTCCAGTTAGCCACATCCCGGAAACTGACCCAAAACAAGAGTGCTGAGCCACTATCAGGACTGCCAGACGCTGTCAGCAAACAACAGAGCTTGACTTTAAAGTCCTCATTGTTACCTGCACTTATGTCTAATGGGATTACTGTCTGTAATTGTAACTGCAGTGAAATGTATTGTTAGAGTATTTATGAGTGCTCTGTCACACCCCTTGCTTCCTGATGGTTTTCTATCAGGCGTATTAAGTTATATGTTAGACAATAGAGCTACAATTAGATTATTCTACCAACACCCAATGCATCTTAATATTCGAAGCATGATACAGCCATGGGGTTTTTTCCCCAAATCTGGATTTTTCTTACATATGGCAGAAAAAAATAAAAGGTGTGGACTGCTTTCAATCTTCTCTGTCATCTGTTTAAGTGCTGCTGTCACAAGGACAGAAAATCTTCAAACCATTTCATATCATTTCTGTTTCAATTTGCTCCTTTTGCATATTTTTTAACCTGATTTCGCCGTTTTGCCCAGTTTTATTTTACTTAGCTTTTTTATGTTATTTAGATTTTTTTGTTGTTATGGTTAATGTTTTGGCTGCTGGAACACAGTAAGTTCCCATGGTTTGGGATAAATACAGTATATCTGATTTATCTCATCTTATATGTTGCATAAGCACTTTTTTTTTATCCTGTGTTTCTCCATACTAGGGTTTTCACAATTATATACATAAATATCAATACTCCTGTATTAAGTGATACTAAAAATTTATATCGAATTAAAATACACCTTTGCAACAGTATCGATACCAACAGTGGCCTCCTCCAGCCGATTCACAACTTCACACAACACTGCTGCAGATAGACGATGAACGTTAACTATGTGTTTATTCTTAACTTTTTCATACTGTTCTTCTTCTAAAATAATTCAATTATTTAGAGAGTAAGTATTATTGGTGTTTGTGACCTAGGTATCAGTGCCTAGGTTCTGAAACATATTTTACCTTCATGATCTGTGATAAAATGATCCAAATACTCTGTAAAAACTTCTAAATACTTATTTTATTAACTCTAACTTCAAATTGGGAAAGAAAAAAATTAAAATTAACAGGTTAAATTAACAAGTTTTCGAGAGATGACTTTGCCATCACTTCGGTTGTTGCAGGGTGGGGTCAACATCTTCCCCTTTGTGAAAACAATATGGTATCAAATATTTCCCGAGGTATCAGTACAGAGTTTCAAATTCTAGTATTGTGACAACCATACCAAACACATCAATCTTACTTGGGCAGACCATCCAACAATACTAACGACTCATTTTAGCGTTTACATGTGTAATCAAAAAGTTCTCGTTTTAAGAGTTTAGTTGCTGCTAACCAGCTAGCCGTCTAGGAGTCCTAGGACGTAGGACCTACTTCAGTGCTGCCACCTTACTCTACAGCTTGCGTCTGTCCTTGGAAATTCTATGTGAGCTGGAAGGTTCCTCTAACAGCAGGTGAAGGACCAGGTGTGGTCATGTCATGGCCACATTTCCAGAGCAGAACTATCCACCAACTGCCACCAGCAGCTCACTTGAGAAGCATCTTATTATAATGTTTAGTTATTTCCCACTGGGAAAAACAAACAATTCCAAGAGGAGAAACTAGTGTGTAGCTCTTTATCCACCACACATGCACTCATATACATACAGTACATATAATTTTTTATACATTTCCTTTTATATCCTCTTTTGCATAATTTTCCTCCCATTTATCTTTCACGCTTTTGCAGTACTACACTTTGTAAAAGTACCTCAAAGCTGTTCTTGAGGGACATCTGAGGCTAATGTATGAAAATAGAAAACGTAAAAGCAAAGGAAGGGGGTGACGACCTGATCTTTCTGTGTACCACTGACGGAGAACGAAAGCAAGCATGAATAATTCACCTGCTGCACACTCACACTAGGATGGCAAAGCTTTCTTGGCAAATCAAGCTAGTTACAACACCCATACCACCTCATCTGGAAACTTCATCTACCTCTCGCTTTCAAGCCAAAAGACTGGGAGTACCTAAAAGTGAGCTACAGGGGAACTCTGATGTATTGCGTGAATTCCTCCGAAAAGACAAAGTGTGCTGGTAATCAGCAAATATCAAAGCTAAAAAGGAGCATTAAGCACTATCAAAATGGTCTGCACTGGTCTAGCTGCTTCTCTTTACAGCTGGAAGTGTGGGCACTGATGCTGAGGTATCAGTCCCAGCTCAGAGTCCACGCCCTGAATTGTTTCAAAAAGGACATAAAGTACGAGCTAAGAGAATCTGCAAAACAAAATACATCACCATAATAATTACCCTCCCCACCCGCAGTGGTTGCCCAGCGCCCACTTGCTCTGATTGGTCCAACAGCTGGTAACCAGGAGAGAAAAACACCAGGGGATTACACAGGATCCCTGAGCTGCTGCCGGTCCTGTACTTCTCGAAGCAGATTTACCAAAAGAGACGATTCGCTTCTGGCTCGCAACACTTGCGTCTCTCAAAATCTGCACTGGTATTTTGCCACTATGACTGGCACTCTGAACTGGGCAGGGCCGCATCATGCCTTAGCTGCACAGACAGTGTGCCTGCTATTAGCTGGAGGCCTGAAGTCATTGTCAGCAAAACTATTCAAGAACTCAGCACACAGCTCTAACGGTCATCTCTGTTTTTGCATGACAGGAAATGAATGGCTGTGTTGTACTGTGTACAATCACCACCTAAATTAGTAGTTTTACTCGAGAAGACGTGACTCAAATTCACGACAAGTTTCTATTGCCTTGTAATCTCCCTTAAAGCTGTATTTCCATTGGTGATCATATCATAAAGATAGCAAAGTCCACAAAGAGTGAGGCAGTTTGCCGTCAAGAAAAACTAATATTTAACCACGTTTTCTTCAAATAATATGCCACTCCCTTTCACCTGTTGAGCATACACTGTAAAATTTATATGTCAGTTCAGGTTTAGGGCTGTTTGCTTCTTAATTACAAGTAACTGTGAAATACATAAAGATCGGGTAACTTCCTTTTGTGTAGAGGCATGCAATGGCAGGGCATCAAGTTGTGTGAACAGCTCCTGCTCTAGTCATGCTTTACAGGCCTGCGATGACAAAGCATCAAGTGCACATTATTTGCAAATGGTTCTCAAGTCAAGTTCTTTGTTGGTTTAGTGAAATGGAGGTAACATGGTACTGCAAGGCATTTCCTTCTTTTGTTGTGATGGTAACTGTTCCAAAGCCTTTTATCCTTATCAAGTGCAAGGGGGGTAATTAAACTAAAGACAAAAAACTCTAGTTTAAACATCCTGAAAAGAAAACACATGGATTTTATAAGATAGCACTGCAATGTGTCCAGTCACTTTAGTCCAACAGACTACAACTGGCCTGCATGATAATGGACATTTCCACTCCCAGTTATTGTGTGTCCACGTTTCCTCTTCCTCATTCCCACCCTCATATCCAATACTCTGATAAACTTGCATGGTCTGCAGAAGGGTTGGTTCAACAGCCAGTTGGTCGGCTATCTGATGTTAGCTCTGATTAAGCTACAGTATTAATACTAGCCAGCTAGCCGAGGCCAGCTAATCTGTCAACTACCAGCTGGCCTAGCCTGCTAGCCACTACCAAATCAAAGCTGGCTTACGCTTTATGCTGACGCAAACTGTTCATAATAGAGTTATCGTTACAGATGCCCACTCTATGAATAATTTATATCGTTATAATATTGCAGTTTGTAAGGGATGGGACTGGCAGGCAAGCGCGCGGCCGCCGACGACATTTTAACCTGTCGCTGTGTTTGTGGCTTTGTTGAATGACAGCTCGCTAGCAATGACAGGGCAACCGCGAGTGGTGACATTTTTATGACAACAACTACTGGGCTTTGTTTCCGAAACGTGGAATTAAATCCTGCCGGAGTCTGTATATAAAATTAAAGCTGAAGACTTAGCACGTTATATGTGAGCCACTGAATCGAGGCGCCAGCCGAGGGCCAGCGAAACAACGCAACCGTGAGCAGGTTAGCGCCGCTAGCTACCAGGCTAAGGTGCTAACTGCCGTCACCGAAAGACAAAAATGGCGTACGGCTGCCAGTGCCGGAGGGCTCTGTCAAACAGGTAGCAACACAAATCAACTCACCCCGATAATGACGGTATCTTCCCCTTGAAACTTGGGAATGTACTTGTCGCCCCTGGTCACCTCGGAGCTGTTCAGGGGCCTAAAACGGCACATCACTTTGATGGTGCACTCCGCCGGGTCGGCCATCTTCCACGGTTCAAGAATGGAAATTCACGAGAAGAATTAAAGTATATACTGGATCTCAGGGGCGGCCGTGAGAGGCGAAAAGGGAGGCCGAGCCCCTCTGTCCCAATCTCAGGTTCTAGAAAGGGCGATGATCAGTTGGACATTAGACAAAAATCCTTGTTTTTCCACTCAGTCACTTCCCCCCGTCCTGTTAGGAAGCCATGATACCGGTGGATCAGCGGCTGGCCACCTCACCCCTCCTGCTACCGTGGATGTGGATCACAATGACGTCACCCCGGCAGGCGCTCCCCTCCTTACTGTTTTTCTGTAGTGAAATCTTCATTAATCAGAAAATACACACAAAAGCTCACAGCAGCTGCCCAAAGTATTTAAAGTATTTGTACCTTGCTGCCACTTTTCACTTGTACTTAATTTCAGATCATTTCTTGCAGTCATCACTCAATACTTTGTATTTTAAGTTAAAAACATGGCCCACCTGTAATTATTTTCAATAGATGAGAAATTAGAACAATGCAGAAAGCAATCAGCATTAAAATGATGTATGAATAAAACTGGTGACACAACGGATGCAGTAGTTAGCTCCATCTCCTCGCAGAAAGAGGATGTTGTCAAATCCACCTGTTGGCTGAGGTCCTTTTGTGTGGTGTTTGCGTGTCCTCCCTCAACTTGCGTGTGCATCCGTTCTCTCCAGGTTATACTAGCTTTCTCACACAGTCCAAAGATATACTTGTTATTTGGGGAATGTGCACAATCATTCAACCAAACATTCAACCATTAACCTCCTTGAGCCACAGTTGCACACAACCACAATAATGTTGTGTATATATTATGATTTTACTATACAAGATACGTCATAAATTAGTTTTGGTCCTAAGCTCAATAAATACTTACCCCTGTGTTGCCATAAAAATAGCATTTTCATACACTTATAAGATTGCCTAAAATTTACTTTATGCCTCAGAAGGGAAAAAAATGGATGCAGAAAATGTGTTTATATATCATCCATCGTGCTTTTAAACCTCTGTAAACCATGTACATAGACTATAAATGTGTCAAATTTAGCATCATAACATTAGACTTATTCTTCATTCTTAGATTTGAATGTTTCACTGAATATTTATGAGTTTCAATAAAACAGACAAAATGTATTTATGTTCCACAGTGTGGGAGTCTTGTTTATCTAATCTGCCAGGGAAATATTAGGAACAGTAGTGCTATTGTTACTTCCGAGAGAGGACAGAACTACGGCATGCTGTGAAGGTTGCAGCTGTGAGACCTCCTCATAACTAAAAATTCATCATGCCTGACCTCATTCAGCAGATGCCATATAATGGAGCAAAAGCCATGGCAAACCGCTAGCGGCTGGACACATTTTCAGGCCACTCCCTGAAACACTGAGTGATATCTTTTTTCATGTTAGAGTGCTTAGCTAATCCGAATACCAGTTCTACTGGCCCACTTGTGTGTTCACAGGGCGGCTGTGGCTACACTGTAGCTTGCTATCACCAGTGTGTGAATGTGTGTGTGAATGGGTGGATGATTGTGTATAGTTTAAAGCGCTTTGGGGTACTTAGGACCAAGTAAAGCGCTATACAAATACAGACCATTTACCATTTTACCATTCACAGAGGGATGAAAGGGTGTGGCGCTGCTGTGTGAGCTAACAGGGTAGTCTGGCTATAACTGAGCAACAAGTCCCCACAGACCACATTGTCGACTATGTCTACTATACTGGTAATAACAACAGGAAGGGCTATTCAGTCATATGAGCTCTTATTATGTCCCTCTTTATTCAGCTAAATCTGGGATGAGTCTGGCCTTTCATGGTATTTAAAAATGAATGCCTTTACGCCTAAATTTGATTGAAACATGAAAAGTCAACACTTGTCTTTTGATGCTGTTAAAAACTCTTAAATTCATCCTCATTTCAAAATGTTTACCCACTGAATATCCTTGTGTTGACTGGAGGTATGAATGGTACAAAGTCATGAAAGTTTAGTAGCTATTTCTATCACAACTAGTCACTGATTCAAAAATCTTTCTTTTATAGAATTTGATCATTTTGATTTCACATAGCATAATGGTGTGGTGGGACTGTTGCCTCACAGGAAGAAGGTTCTGAGCTTGATATACCGTCTGGCCTCTGTGTGTGGCCTCTCTTTCCATGTCTGTGTGGGTTCTCTCTAGGAACTCTGACTTTCTCCCACAGTCCAAACACATCCAGATAGTTAAGTGGTCATTCCAAATAGCCTACAGGTGTGAATGTGAGTGCAACTGGTTGCTTGTCTCTCTGGGTGTTAGCCCTGCAGCAGACTGGCAACCGGTGCAAGGTATACCCCGCCTCTCGCCCTATGACAGTTTGGATAGGCTCCAGCCTTGGAAGAAAATTGATTAATGGAATTTGATTGCTATTTATTCTTATCTGTCTTATCAGGCAGATCCCAACTTTAACTCCAGGTACACAGACTACTATTACTAGATGTCATTTGATAATATATAGGTAAACACATAAAAAAAAAGTTTATTCCAGCCATGTGCATCTACATATACATAAATATCATGGTGAGTTGCAGTGTGAGTTTACTGTATTAGCCTCTTTCCAGTGAAATATCTTGTTTTCACCGAGTTTTTAAGTGTTGTTTGAGACGTTTCCAGAAGTGTCCATGAGGAAGAGATGTCCTTTCACATTTCAAAATATATTTAGAATCATTTTTCAATGACCTGATGACCTTTCACATGTCACATTATCTAACCAGGAAGTGAAGCTCATGAAATCAGTCTCTTTTGTGGGTGTATCCTGAGCTTACAAAAGCCTATAGGAATTTTTTTCCCCAAAAGTGGGAGAAACCCGATCTCCTGGACACAACCCACGCAAGCATGGAGAGAACATGCACACTCCACACAGAACAGCCCTGCCTGGGTTTAAACTCAAGATCATGTTGCATGTTGCCAAAGGTTTTTCAGAGATTTTGCTCGGTGGCACTGTAATACACATTTATTTGAGCCCCCTGCCTCTCAAATCATATGTGTACTGAAGAGCTCAGCATCCAGCTAAGCCTATTAGTTGACAGCTGTGTCTTATTTATTGTAGTCATGTAGCGTGTAGGTTTAGTTTCACTGTAAATGCCTTAGGCTTTAGGCATGAATGTGCTGATGAGTGTTTGCACAGGGGAAAACAATGACACTGTCATTCACGCAGTTACATCCAGTTATTTTATGGGAAAGACATAAATTAAAAATGGGTGATATAAAGTCTGTCATACAACTGCCTCATCATCATGTGGTGAAACTGAAAACTAGAGCAACAGTGTTTTTTTCAGATCTTTAAAGAGACACTTTTACATCTAAACACATTAAACATTTTACTTAAATATATCATAATTAGTATCAAAATATATCCAGAGAAGCAAAAATAAAATACTCATTATAGGCAATGTCAAATTTCAAAATAATAGGTACTATTTCATCAGTTAATGTGGCATCTGAGTCTAATTTTGGTTAGTCTAATTTTGGTTATACTTTCTACCATGAAGTACAAAGTATAAGGTGCAAATCCCAAAAAGCTGATTCTTTTCATTTGGATGTAGCGCTTTTAGTGGGAGAAACCTTTCATCACTTATCCAAGTGACTTCACCAGACTGAAGAAGTCATACTTATCTAATCTGACCATCTTCCAGTAGCTGTTACCATAAAAATCATAAACTCATGAATTTTCTGCTGTGTTAACACTTGTTCCAACCTACAAATGAGAAAAGGACAGACAAATGCGAAAAGGTCGAACTTGACTAAGATTGTCTAAACATGTTAAAAAATCTGTACCACACAAGAAGAACACAAGGTTTTCTGAGTAAATGATTAAACATTTCATCGTAAGCCCAACCTAACTGAAAGTACCAGCTGTCAAACACATCTGTCCAGCTGCCAGCAGTGGTACCATGAACGCTGTGGTTGACAGAGGTTCATAATCCATCATGGGGTGTACACCCAGTCGTGATAAATGTACCAGTCATTTATCTAGAGGTGTCTGTAATTGACAGGATGTAGGACATCTTTGAAAGTTTGCAAAACTTGAGAAATAAACCAAAACTAATAAATTAAAACGGTTCATAGCAATTAGATGAAAATGAACTGGTTAAATAAGTTGAGAGGGCAAAATGTTAAAGGTTTCTTTGTGATAAAATGTGTGACATCCTTTTGTAAAAAGTTCATTATTTTGTACAATAAATATTTTTCATACTGTAACTGGTTCCCTTGTGCAAACACTGCACACATTTCCAATACTATGCAGCCTATACCCAGTTGTACTGATCTATAAAGCCAGATGACACACATCAGTTAAACTACAGGCAAGACTTAAATGCACAATGGTCTAAATGATCCGTAACTTTCTGTTACTGCATTTAGCCCCAAAGAGGCTAGAAACACTGTCTAACCACTGTGACCATAAACTAGGATTACAATACAAAGACTTTTGAGACAACTGTTGCTGTGAACTAGCACTTTAAAAATAATGGTAAGCTTAATTAAACTATATATTTTGTAACTGTCAAGCTGATAACAAACTTACTAGTGACAGAACACTCATAGATTCAGTAATGTTACTAAATGATGGTCAGCACCGGTTGGAGGTTTAGATTAGCTATTGTTCAGTTTTTTTGCATTACAGATATTTGATTTGGTTGTACAAAGTATAATTGAATTAAAATCAAATTAATTTCATTTATATAGACCAAAATCACAACAACTGTTGATTAAAGGCACTTACAGTTGCACCTTAAGGCAATTGTTACAAGTAAAATTTAGGCATACAAAACTCTAAATTTAAATAGTATTCAAATGACGAGATCTGCAAAGGGTGGTGCGCTCGGCAGAACGCATCATTCAATCAGAGCTCCCTGACCTGCTGACAAGCGGTGCAAGTCCAAAGCTAGGAAGATTATGATGGACCTCTCCCATCCCAACAATGGACTCTTCTCACTGTTGAGGTCTGGGAAGCGCTTCCGCTCCCTTAAGGCCAAAACAGAGAGAATGAGGAGGAGCTTCTTCCCCCAGGCTATTCGGGCCCTGAACCA